AGAACCTGAACCACGAACTCAAAAGCACTACTGGGATTTGAACTCCCTTTGAAATTTGAACATCAGTCAAAGGGACAGGAATTGTAAGTCCATATTCTTTTCCAATCTGATGGAAATCCCGTTCAGAGTTCTTGGTCGAACATTGTGCCAAGACATTGATACTAGTTTGAGCTGCAACCGGAACTTCTTCCACCACGGCCCGGGCTGCCCTGATTGTTGATGAACAAGGGGCCTCAGCCGGTCGCTGCTAGCCACTAAATTCCATGACTATATAGTATACATGGGGATCATAGGGGGGTAGCTGATTCAGTGCACATTGTAAATCAAACCTTCCAACTAGTCAGATCTGCAATTTGTAGTGACAGTTCGGACTGACTCTTTTGTCCCCTGTGTGTGCAAGAATCGACAGTCGAGCACGGCAAACTGATCTCTACATTTTTTTGGCTTTGGCAGCTTTGCCAAAAAGAACTTAATTGGTTTCCAGCTAGCATCTAAGGATACTAAACCAAAGGAAACATAAAATCAAAACAGGTGGATCAGGCTGGCTTGTGTTTGAAGCTCCTGTACACCATATATGTCACATACGCTGCAGAGGTGTCATGGCCAACGCTGTCACCACCTTTTCGAATGTTGCGGCACCCAGGTTGACCTTGGCTGGCTTGTTGGGTCTTGGGATTCATGTGAACACCAATGTTGAGAAAAGGGCATCCAGGTGCGGTTAAGTTGAATGATTGCATGCTGCTAGGGTACCATCATATCGATCTATGAGAGCTGCTTCCAACATAGCTGGGCTCCATGGCTCAGGTGACAGGTAAAGTACCACCATTCGTTCCCAACGATCCCTCTCATGTAAGTATCCATATCTCCGGTTCTCCCACCTGATCTTTGGATCGCGGCTGAATCCAAATTTAAAAATCATCGGGGCGAAGCTCTCAAAGAGGGTTTCTACAACTTGCACGGCATGCTTCAAAACCATCCCAGCGGTCGTAACTTTCAAGGGTAGCCAGACGGATATCTGGTCATGTTTTTCAAGTTCATCCAGCAGAGTATTGACAACAGGGTCATCCAAAGTCTCCCGAATGTGTAATTCCCAGGACACCCTTCGTGTCTTGTCACAGGAATTAGGATCAGGAGTCCTGGGCGTCACAGCAACGGTCCTTGATTGTTGCTGCGGAATTGACCATGGGAAAGGACCCTCTTCTACCTTAGCTGAGATCACCCCAAGAAAGTTTTTGAAATTCCCCACCTGCCAGGTGAGGGTTGTTAGATTTTATCAGAGCTGTTCTTCCGCCTCCTCCTCCTCCTTCTCCTCTTCTTCCTCCTCCTCCAGTTTCTCCTCGACCATGTCTGCATCCACTCCCATGTTCACTTCCGCCTTGCCAACTCTTCGCCAACTTCCGCGCGCAGTGGGCACTGCTGGACCTCAACTGCCGGCGTGCGATCGGAGTGGGCACCGCTGGACCTCAACCTGGGACCTTCCGAGCTCAGTGAGGACCTCTGAACCTCAACCTGGGACCTTCCCAGCTCAGTGAGCACCGCTGGACCTCAACCTGGGACCTTCCGAGCTCAGTGAGCACCGCTGGACCTCAACCTGGGACCTTCCGAGCTCAGTGAGCACTGCTGGACCTCAACCTGGGACCTTCCGAGCTCAGTGAGCACCGCTGGACCTCAACGGCCAGATAGAATGCCAGAAGATATGCCAGATAGAACGCCAGATAGAATTTCAGATAGAATGCCAGAAGATATGCCAGATAGAATGCCAGAAGATATGCCAGATAAATGCCAGAAGATATGCCAGATAGAATGCCAGAAGGTATGCCAGATAGAATGTCAGATAGAATGCCAGAAGGTATGCCAGATAAAGTGCCAGAATGTTTGCCAGATAGAACGCTAGAAGATTTGCCAGATAGAATGCCAGATAGAATGTCAGAGGATATGCCAGATAGTGCCAGAAGATATGCCAGAACATATGCCAGGTAGAATGCCAGAAGATATGCCAGATAGAATGCCAGAAGATATGCCAGATAAATGCCAGAAGATATGCCAGATAGAATGCCAGAAGCTATGCCAGATAGAATGTCAGATAGAATGCCAGAAGGTATGTCAGATAAAGTGTCAAAATGTTTGCCAGATAGAATGCCAGAAGATTTGCCAGATAGAATGCCAGATATGCCAGAAGATATGCCAGATAGAATTCCAGAAGGTATGCCAGATAGAATGTCAGATAGAATGCCAGAAGGTATGCCAGGTAGAATGCCAGAAGATATGCCAGATCGAATACCAGAAGATATGTCAGATAGAATGCCAGAAGATTTGCCAGTAACAAAAGGTATAAATGTCTTGGTGGTGATAACTCGAAGTAAAGTAATTGATATTAATGTTTTTAAAGGGTACTATATCAACTACCTAGTCGGTATGTTGACACTAGCCTCCACGATTTCAATTCAGATAAGTTTCAGAACGGTGTGAAGTGAATAAATCTAGTAGTTCTTCCTCTGCGCTTTCCATTGCAAAAACCATGCGATGGCATGGATTGCTGGATCACAAATTGAGCCAAAAGGATCTAAACGGTTGATAGTGGATTCTAAGGTGTAGCAACTTGAGTTTCTTCCACCCATCCAGTACTCTAAGATTCAGTGCCCTGGGTGCCCTGTTTCATGAATGAGGTCCCCACACCATCGGAAACATCTCGAAACCAGCGTCGCAAGCTTGGACCAGCACCTGGCATGGAGCAGGGATTGATGCATGCATGTTTAAAGTCCTCTTAAGTCTAACCTTAAACCCAAGTTTTTTCCAAAGGATTTTCTGCCAACGTGTTCGATGTCAAGTAAGCGAAACTGTTGCTTTTTTTTTCTGTGGGGCGGCAAAGCTCACATGATGTCAGTTGCATCTAGTCTAGCGTTCACAGATCATGAACCCATCACGGTCAAGAATGGGAAAGCTACATCCCAAAATTGATAGCATCCCCATGACCTATGGCAAACATGTCAAAAGCTGATTGCGGTGACGACACGTCCTCCGCCCACATCCGAAAACAACAGGTTTTGAACCTGTCATCATGACACGGTACTTTGCAAGTCAAAATGACCAGTGCATTTCATTTCTTAGACTTCTTAGCCTTCTTAGCAGGCTTAGAGCCCTTTGGCACATCAGCTGCCTTACGCTTAGGCTCAGGATGCGGCTCCCCAGTCTCTAGGTTAGTTTCAGGCTTGGTCTTCTGGAAGAACTTCTTGCCGCTCCTGTAGTGAAAGTTGAAAATAAATGTGGTGACCCATCAAGCTGTTTGATCGAGACCCCCTGAGGTTGAAACCGAGCTTTGAGCTCAGCAGCCAATGCACGCGAAGACCTGAGAACACTTGGACAGATTTCACGGCACAACATATGGGATCATATGAAGTGACCTAATTTTGTAGAGGGCGAACTGAGCTTGATCACAACACATGGGGTAATTTTGTTTGCACTTTTCTTTCATCAAAGCCGATCTGGGAATAGAACACCACGCTTGTTTCCTTCATCTTCTTCTCAGCTTGGGCCCACCACCTCAATTAAGGCACATAAAGCTTTTAAGCTCATGAAGGTTGTTGGGTCAGAACTGGGGGCAGAACGTTTTCGATGCCTTTTCATCAAGATGTTCACCGACTGCCCAATGCTCGTTGAGCATCTCATACTGGGCATCCATGTTTCCCAGGTTGTCCTCCAAGCTCTTGATGGGCCTGGGATGGTGAAGTCCAAACATGGGCTATGTACGCTCTGGGCTCAAAGTGTGAACTGCATGCAATTGAGTTGCACTGTTGGATCATCAGAATAGTTGGTCTTCAAATCCCGAATGAGGGTTCTGAGTTTGTTCATCTTACTCAGAAGGCTGTCAATGAAGCGCTTCAAGACAGCTCGTTGCTGCACAGGGGCCGGACAACATGTTTTGATGGAGTTCTGAAACTCTTGTGAAGAAGAAACCAAACGCAATCATTTTCAACATTAAGTTGATGGATCTATATATATATATGCAGCCACTGAAGTGTATAAAGAATGCAGTTGGAAAGTAAACCAATAGCCTCCACTTCAGCTGCAACCCTGTCGGGACCTTTTGCTTCAGCTGAAGCATCGTCTCGACGCTTCTGATCCTCCAACTTCTGGAAGCCTGCCTGGTCCATCTTCGGCATGGCAGAATCATCCACCTGCGTGGCAAATGTGACATGTTGGACTGTGAGGTCTGGTTTCCTGGGTGTCCTGCCTTCTTCTTCTGGCGATGGATTTCTTCCTGCGTCAGGCTCTCAGTGTGTTCTGCAGCCTCTTTGACAATGACCCAGTACTCCAGCACCCCATCATAGCGGTTGCTCCTGCCCAGATGGAGCATTGGATTTCTTTATCAAAATGCAGGATTTTGCAAAATAATTGAAGGTTTAAGATTGCATGGCCAAAGGGAAACCTCGCCTGATATGTGTATCAGGTGACTGCTCGCACACCTTCTTGACACCAGCAATTCGTCCCCTCAGTTAACAATGATTTACAGCTTGGTGCTAGTAATCACTGATGCTGGTTAACGCTTGATATTCAACATGTTCAGGTTTGATTTCAGAAAAATTGAGTTTATGACGGTGTCCATTTCAGCTCCATTCGAAGCTCGCTCTCTGAGAACCAGCCTTCGTTGCGAGTGATCTTCACCTTCAGCTTTTTCTTGATCACTAGCTCCAACTGTGTCAAGAAAAGGTCCTGAGAAAAGTTACCAGTGTGAATGATCCCCCACAAACATTGCTGTACCCAGTACTTTTAAAACTAACTAATCAAGTGGTCATGCAATGGTCCTTGCACCAATTGGTGTCCATCAAAAGCTGTGCCATTTCGTTCTTCTCCTCTCTTCCCTTGTCCCACTGCTCTTTCACCATGGCCGGTACCTGAAGGTCTGACCTTTTTTTCTTCGGGGCTATCATGCGCCTGATGCGCATCTTGGCTGCGTTCTGCAACAGTTCCTGAAGTAACCAGGGCTGTCGGGTGGCAATGTTGGTATAAAGAAGTGCTTGATGAGTTTAAAATGGGAACAACTTGATTGGGTTGATTGACTATTGTTGGTCGATGTGAATGGATTGATGTCTAGGCACCCTTCTGCTCAGGGGTCGCCGGGCTTTCTTCTTCTTCTGGTTCAAACCAGCACTGCGAGTATCCATGTCGGTACCGGGTTCCACCTGACAAGTAACTTGTTGACTGGGGTGATGCCAAAGACAGGATTACCTTCAAATATCTTCCATTTACATGCCAGAACAGAAATTGTTTAAACACAATTGAGGTCTTTGATGGCTTATGTATGCTTCTCAATCTATGGGCCTCCTTTTCCGGGCAAGTGCCAGCTTCAGTTTCAGCTTTGCCAGGAAGAACTGGTTCAGGGGCAGGCTTCTGAGGTGCCTCAGAAAGCAAAACCACTATTGGTTTTCAGTTTTCCATGTTGTTTAATTCAACTAGTAACAAGGTTTCATCCCAGTGCAGGCTGGTAACTTCTGCAACATTGTCAGTCTCCAAGATCCCCGGCTGTGTTTCACTGTTTGCCTAGGCATGGGAACGAGATGAAATGGGCCGCGCTTTGGTGGCTAACTGCTGGATTCCTCAGCTGATGGCAATCTCGTCATCACGGGCTTGGGCAGCTGCACGTGCTTCCAATTCCTGCATGAAGTTGGCTGTAGGAACCCCCTGGGAAAACCATGTGTTATTCTTCAATTCTTTCTTTTTGATGCTTGTTGGTTTGGAATCTCTGGGATAAGACCACGGTCCTTAATTTCTTCCATGATTAACTTCTCTTGCTCGGCTAGGGCCTGTTCCTCTTCTGTCAGCACGGCATTGTAGCCATCTTTCAAGGTTTCACAACTCCAGCCCGCTGCCGAAGAAGACATGTTCAGGCGTCTACAAAACCTAACTACTTCGCTAGATTCTCAACCTTGAGACTTGCAAACCTAGTCAATCAAGAATGCAATAGAGATCTCAATATTCCTTAGGTTTGCACATCGATCATGCTGGAAAATTCAGCTAGCAATACGTAGCCAGTGCATGGGCAAAGTGTTTTCTTTTCAAGTTTGGTACATGTCCGATCTCCACTATCGAATTTCAGCTGTGAAAACAGCGATCGAGATGCAGAAATTCTTGCCATCTTCTGAATTTTGGCACTCAAAATGGAGGTTGCCAGGTACCCCAAAAAACAAGGTTTTCCATTACGGGTTTTTACGGGGTTCGCACGGGAAATTATGGTGTTCGCACGGGTTACGCACGGGTTCACCAAAACCAGGTTTTTTGGAATTTACGGGTTTTGTTCGGGTTTTGGTCGGGTTTTTACGGGTTTTGTTCGGGTTTTTACGGTGTTCGCACGGGTTTTGCACGGGTTTTGCACGGGTTGCGCCATTCCACCACCACAATTCCAGTTGAAATCTGGAAAAGACTTGAAAAAAGTGATTCAGGATTCAAAACTCCAAACATTCCATTTTGGGGAGTCCGGCAATCATCTCCAAAAGTAAAGCATCTAAATAGATTTTGGCACATGGTGGGCCCAACCTTCGGGAATTCTCAGACTGTGCCCTTTTCTCAAATATCGAAAAGCTGACTCTAGGTCAGCAAATTCAAACAAGTCGGACCCTTTCCCCGAATTTAAATCTTGAAAGGATTCCAAGGCAGGTGGCACTGGATCTGGAACCTCAGGGGTCCCACGCTGCGCAGCTTTCAGGTCATCGATCAAGACCGAAATGGTGGAGGCAAAGTAGTCCGGGTAGATCCTGGGCGGTCAGGGAGATAAGCCCAACTGCAGTTTAAATAAGTGGATGGCATCGATGGTCAGGGTAGAGTTGAAACAACACACGGTGAGCCATTAAGACAATTCTAGGATGTGAGCGTCTCAATTTTTGATTCCAATAGGCTAGCTTGGCTACAAATAATCTTAATTCATTCAAGGGTCTCTGTGTCTTTCAGATGTTTAGTCCCCACATAGCAGTCTTTACCGTCTCGGTTCTTGTACTTCCTACACGTCTCGACCTTTGTATGAACCTTCTTGACCTTGTTGGCTGTTGGGCGAAAATGGTATAACTTCCGGATGGCTGGTGAATTGCTGTATGCATACTGCGGCTTGGCTGTCTCTCCACCAAAAGCACCCATCGACCAGTGCACACGGGATACCTTGGCCGAGTTCCATACAGTTGTAAAACCGGTATGTAACAATTTCAGGGGTGGATGGTGGATCATATTTCTCAACATCATCAGTGGGTGGATGCATGCAACTGAGTTCTGTGCTGCATCAATGCCATGAATATCAATGAGTCGTCCCAAAGCCCATCGAAAGGTAGGGTAGAACTCAAGAATGGAACCACCCGGCTGTTCTAATACAAATACTCCACCAAGAGCCACAGTGAGGATTAGAAGGAGTGAAATCCTGCAGATAGGTGGGTTAGCTTGACATCGCTCATCCATCAAAACTGCAAGCCACAGGTTTCTTGAAGTCATGGTGAAATATATATATATATATATATATAAATATCATATCGATCGATAAAACAGTCTACACACTACTAGTTGTCAACCTCAGTTCAGAATCACCCCGGGTCCTTTCAAGCATCTTATTGGCCTCGCCAACAGAGGCCATGAGCAGATCCCCGGTGCTGCAGCAAGCTGCCCTGGAGGAGGTCCCAACATTCATTTGGGTCCAGCTGGAACACTTGATGCCAAACCAAGATAGGAAGTCGTGGGCCCGACCCTTTAGCAGGAAGATGATGCATAACCTTGGTTGAATTATAAGTTGAAAGACATCCGAGTTTGACAATTCTCACTCATAAGTTCCAACCCAACAGGAAATATAAAAGCTCAAAAAAATTGTAAAGGTGTAATTGCTATCAGGCTGCACGAACCCACTTGGGCTATTAACATCCATGTAGTTACTCTTCCGAGGAGGCACCCTGTTGTTTGAGTTGTATTTCAAATCAAATTTGCATCCCTTGAATCCCTGCAAGCGAGCGAAGCAGGTGCAAGCCGCATGGCCAGCGAAGAACTCCAACCAATCGTAGGCCTGCACGGTGCTGTTACGCTGGCAGTGCCGGGTTTGAGATAGGAACCAGTTTCTCAAGGAATGTTCGATATGAAATCCATTGAATTGAATTCATCTAGCTCTATCTCACAAAGCGGTCCTCATCAATGTTGTAGAGACCTTCAGTCCAAATCACCAGCAGTACAATGAGAACGAACTCCTTGGCCGTTTAACAGAATGGGATTCACTTTGAATTCATGCTCGGGGTAAACCCAAACCTTTTCGCTTGCTTGATGTTACTTTTCAGAAGTCCAAGTGTCCCGGGGTGCACGAAGCTTTTGGAGCTTGAAGACCAAAGAATTGATGTCGACCATGGGTGGAAAATCCCTTCCGGATTACAACCAAGTTTTTTTTGAGCCAGCTATAGCCACATGCTCGGGTGGTGGTTTGAAAAGCCAACAAGACATCGATCTATTCATGGTACATTCTCTTAAGTCACATTTCGAAAAGGGATCAATCGATTGAAATCATGCCAGGACTGCTCTTCTTGTTTCTCTGGCGCACCCGACGAGCATGCGAAATTGCTGGGCGAAGACCACGCCTAGGCGCCATGCTGGCCTGACCTGGGTGCCGGGAGGAGGAGCAAACCACCACCATACAAATTCTGCCACGGGATGGCTGCAAACAACTTGACATCACTGGAATTTATTTTTTGTCCCACGTTTCACTGGCTTCATGATCAGATTGAGAAGCGGTGTTAGAGAACTCAGCTAAGTAGCTCACAGGGCAGCCATGGCCCCATGAATGATGGCCACATGTTCATGCCCGGTCCGCTGCAACAGAAATGGTAATGAACATCATTTGAAACAATGTTGGCATCATGACAAGACTGAACCAAAACTACAGTTTGGGTATCATGCTTTCACTGGACCAGGCCAACTTTCTACGTCGATACGTAGCGTTTCAAGAAAGCTATGGCAGAATCCCATGGCAGGAAGCAGGTTTCAAGTTGTGACCCAAAGATGGCTTGATCAGCCATCTGCTCCCAAACAACTCTCCCGCCTAACCTGGGAGACTCACCAAGTAAGCCCTAGGCCCTCACACCATGTTCTGGTGCAGAACCGCAGCACCAGCCATCTGGTAGGCCTGCTTCCACTCCTCCAGCGACTTCTCAAAAGCTGCAACGTCAGGAGCATCCGACTCGTCCATGTAGTATGCCTGGGCAGGTGAAAATTAACACAAGATTACTGGGAGGTCGATGTTTCAACTGGGACACTAGTATATGAGCCATTGGGCCCATAGTCATTATACCACTAAATTCAACATCACCAACGAATGAATGAAGCTCATAGTATTCACAAGTGTTTTTCCAATCTATTTCATGGTAAGAAATGTTCCACGGACCATGCATGCGCTTTGCTGTCCAGATTCTCTCAATCCATGGTAGCACTTATAATGCGCATGTTTGAAACCCTAGCTTTCATAATTGCTTTGGGTAATCTATGTGAGCACCCACCAAGTGCAGCTAAATTACCAAATGCTCAGCACACGCAATAGCAACTGCGCAAGCTCGAAGGGTCTTCTCAAAGAAGCTGAAGTTGGCCACATCGCCTTCCTTTTCACAATTTTTTCGCATGGTCAAGCCGCATTTGAAGGTAGTCCAGTAGATGTTGAGCCGGAAGAAGTCAAACCTGAGACGGGCTTCTTTGACACATGCCTTCAAAGTGGCCAAGTCTTTGTAGTCGATGTTGTCATTGACCCACGAAGCAATCTCAGCTTGCAAGTCTGGGTGAGCCTCCACATCTACCTCAGACACCTTGATTGACCTGGCTCTCGGCTTCTTGTCTGTCTCTCCTGTCTTCTCAGTCTTTTTCGCATGCTTCTTTTTCTCAGGCTTCTGGCTTTCCTTCGGCTCCTTCTGATTCTTCTGACTCTTCTGGCTCTTCTTCTTCTCCAGCTTCTTGTCTGCACTCTTGGACTTTTTCACTGCTTTTGACTTGGGCGATGGCTTGCTCTTTGCCTTTGCGCTGGCCTTTGGCTGGTCAGGCATGCCACCCTCGCCATCCAAAGCAGTTGAAGCCTTTCTTCTTTTGCTCTGGTTCTGGTCTTCTCCATTGGTCTTGTCATCTTTCTTCTCCGAAGTTTTGGCCGATCTTTTTCTCTTGTCAGCTTTCTTCTCTTCTCCGGTCTGATTGTTCTTCTGTTTCTTGGTCTTTGCATTCTCCTCTTTCTTCCCAGCACGAAGGGAAAGTTGATCTCGGCGAGTGAAGACCTCATGGACGCAGATATGCACTGATGGCTATCAAGAATCAATGAAAATTTGTGATAAATATCAGCTACCGAAAATTTCCAACTCTGATGATATAGTTCCCATTGGGGTCATGACCCAACTATATAAATAAAAGGCCAAATTCCTGAAGCATGTCTGGAGGACCTTCGGTGGTCCAGCCACTTCAGGCTCGGCATCCGAGGAGGTGTGATCTGGAACTTCGGCTTCATCCCCTTTAGTATCACTGGGAACATGACTGGTAGAATCTTCTTGTGGAACCTCTGATTGAGCATCAATTTCCACCCGTTGTTGGTATTTGGCACGTTTCGTCCCTGGGCTGTCTGACCGCAAGGCCGCATCATCCCATGTGGCACCTTTGGCTGAAGGAGGAGAAACAGGAGGCGCAGCAGCTGCAGCCACAGCTGCCTCAAGGTCCTGTGTCCCCATTGGCATGGTATCGTGCTCATCAGTGGCTCCACCCAAGATAGGATCCGATTGGCCTGTGCTGCTGAGCTGGAAGGAACGCCCTAGTTCATAAGCTTTCTTCAATGGAATCGGTTTGAGGATTTTGGTAGGAGTGATTGTTTTTGGGATGGCATGGCTACAGGTTCCCTTTACTGCATGCACATACACATCAGTGCTGGTATTGCTTTCTTTCAAAGAATTGAGGCGTTCATAGATTCTGCACCTTAGCTATCTTCATCCCAGTGTGATCTGGTTGAGATGTTGGCTTGGATACATTTCTACTATGATAAAGTTTAAGAAATCACGATGTAAAAAATTTGAAACGATGATCACACCTTTTAATGAAATCATTGTTGAAACCCAAGTCAGAGCAGCAAATGCCTCGTCCCAGAGCACGCGTCACTCCAGTATCAGCGCTAGGTGGCGCTGACTTCGAAGCCAATGCTGCTGCCAATTGTTGCCGCTTCTGCTGGATCCTGGGTCAATGAGGCGCCAAGATGTTTGCTGTCACTTTTCTATGGGGGAATATGGGGGAACCTATGGGAAAATAATGTAATCTGATCCCATCCAATCCCCAGGCTTTTCCATGTCCAACTAGCTAGTGCGTAGACCATTCAAAATGAGAAATTACAACGGGTGAAAAGTTTGTAAACCAATTGCGAGATTCTCCCGAAGCTTGGCCTGCCTGAACTCCAAAGCAGTCCAGACAGTTTCCTTCGAGCCAAGGGAGCCAACTCCTTGGCTAACGGTGCATGTCAATTGGCCATGGCAAGCCATGTTCAATCTGGATTGTCGTCATCTATAAGTGATCTTCAGTGAATCCCAAAATTTGCACTATGATTATGAAATAGTGGCAAGAATAGCACCCTACGAAAACCTTATCTTGAAATCGATGCAATGATCCGGGCAAGGCAGAACCATCAGATGATTTCGGATCAGCATCGTCAGGAGCAGGAGACACATGGGCTTTCTGCTGGGGGGTAGCCACGCCAACCGGTGCAGGAGGGACTGTAACCAATGGTAGCTGTTCTTGAGTAGGAATTGGGCCTGGAGCCTCATCATCCTCCAAGGGGAAGCAACCCTACATTGGTGTTTTTGGGGAAATTGTTCAGAAAACTAAATGTGACTAATGAAGGTGTTGATTCCCCACCTGCCAGGTGAGGGTTGTTAGATTTAAACAGAGCTGTTCTCGGCCTCCTTCTCCTACTCCTTCTCCTCCGCCTCCTCCTCTTCCTCCTCCAGTTCCTCGACCATGTCTGCATCCACTCCCATGTTCACTTCCGCCTTGCCAACTCTTCGCCAACTTCCGCGCGCGGTGGGCACTGCTGGACCTCAACTGCCGGCGTGCGATCGGAGTGGGCACCGCTGGACCTCAACCTGGGACCTTCCGAGCTCAGTGAGCACCTCTGGACCTCAACCTGGGACCTTCCCAGCTCAGTGAGCACCGCTGGACCTCAACCTGGGACCTTCCGAGCTAGTGAGCACCGCTGGACCTCAACCTGGGACCTTCCGAGCTCAGTGAGCACCGCTGGACCTCAACCTGGGACCTTCCGAGCTCAGTGAGCACCGCTGGACCTCAACGGCCAGATAGAATGCCAGAAGATATGCCAGATAGAACGCCAGATAGAATGTCAGATAGAATGCCAGAAGATTTGCCAAATATAGAATGCCAGATAGGATGTCAGAAGATATATCAGAAGATATGCCGGATAGAATGCCAGATAGAATGCCAGAAGATTTGCCAGATAGAATGCCAGAAGATATACCAGATAGAGTGCCAGAACACAGGAATCTATCTATCTATGTATCTATCTTTCTATCTATCTGGGGGTTAACCACCACCCCCAAGGACCAGGCACCTCCCGCTGGGGGGTTAACCACCACCCCCAAGGACCAGGGCTCCTCCCGCCAGGGGGTTGACCACCACCCCCAAGGACAACCTGAGCGGAGCAGTCGCTGATCGGGATGCCAGAAGGTATGCCAGATAGAATGCCAGAAGATATGCCAGATAAAATGCCAGAAGATATGCCAGATAGAATGCCAGAAGGTCTGCCAAATAAAGTGCCAGAATGTTTGCCACATAGAATGCCAGAAGATTTGCCAGATAGGATGTCAGAAGATATGCCAGAAGATATGCCAGAAAGTATGCCAGAACATACGCCAGAAGATATGCCAGGTAGAATGCCAGAAGATATGCCAGATCGAATACCAGAAGATATGCCAGATAGAATGCCAGAATATTTGCCAGTAACAAAACGTATAAATGTCATGGTGGGAATAACTCGAAGTAATTTGATCTATATTTTAAACCCAGTCCTTGCCCCCAGCATCCTCATCTTCACTGTCAGATTCCAGGGCGTTCTTGCGTTTCTCATTGACTGCGTTCACAACATCCTTCCGCGAGAAGCAGGGTACATATATAAGCCAGCATATCATGTCCAAAGGGTGGCTATTATTAATAAGTTCCTCATAATTATTTTTATTGCCTCCAAACATCAGGTGGTGACCCTAGATTAGAACATAGTATCTTACAATCTTTATAGTTCCTTCATGGCTGGGGCTTGGCAAATTATGCAAATTGAGTTCACAATAATCACCTTAGACCCCACCTGGCCTCAAGCGCTGGGTTGACAATCAAGCAAAGGGATTGAAAGGTAGGATCCTTGGCGCGAGAACATCAACTCCTAGAAACAGTGTTGAACATGTAGCTATATGTTAAAAAGGGTGACATAGAGCTATATAGCAGGGATATTGTCTTGACGAAATGATTATACATGTTGAAAACATGAAAATGTACAGTACATACGATGTAGGCCAAAAGTCCTGGCTCACCTCTTCTCTTTGGACTTTGCGTTTGATAAACGAAACCATGTCCCGAACTCCCCATGCAGCATCGTCAACATCTGCAGCAGTGACAGAGCGACTGTGCATCTTGTACGCTGCAGCGCATGCATCTCGTAACGGGTCAATTTCAGCAATGCGACAACCTTCTCCAATCTGATTCAGAATGGGGATCAAAAGATCCATGTTGACAACGCACTTGGGGATCTTCACATCGGTCCCTTTATCCACATTAACCAAGGGCAAACCAGCACGAATGCGTGCTCGAATGCTCTCAGTATCATCCCAAATTTTGGGGAGGATTTCACAATCCACATATTGGGATGACATGGCTGCCACCCTAAAAGAAACCGGTCCAGCAGCTTTGGCCAAATGGCTGCACACCCGACATCACCCGAAAAATATACAAGGTACATATGGAATCCACAGCTATCATTCACTCTTGGTTTCTGGAAAATGATTCACAATCCTGCCAGGATCTGGGTTGCCAGACATCTTCCAAAGACGCCGCAAAAAGGGGCGCTCTTGAAGCCACACGGGCCCAGCGCTGGGCAAGCCGGGGATTTGCCCATCCCCCATAGATTCAGAGTATTTCCCATGTTGATGGTATGGAATTATGGATTTTAGGGGTTTCAAAGAATAACCCGGTTTTTTAATAGAATAACCAGTTATTGTCGCATCTCCCCATAAACCTAGGTTATCAGACCTCAACCCGCTTTTTTCTGGTGTTTGGAAGCTGAAGGTATATATATTGTCCTACAGGAGGGTTTAGGTTGTGATATCATGTGATATCGGTCGGTTCCGAAGGCCCACAGATCGGGGCACCATGATAAACTGGACCATTTAAGCACAGATTTAAGGGTAATCCACTGGATTATCATGAAGAGTCACATTCCATTTCTTGGGCAAATATATTAATGTTATTATTGCTATCATAAATCTAGTGTTTGCTTCTCAAATATGTTTATTATCATTCATTCTCCATGTTTTTTGCGCATGTTGTTTAGTACACGCAATTTGTTGATTGCGATGTGGGCTGTGCGTCCACATCAACCTCTGTGGCAGCCAGGTGGAGCATTGGTTGCGATTGTCGGACTTCTACCACTTTCCAGGAGTTCAGGTTCGGATCCGAGATGGACCATCTGAACTTTGTCCTGTTTGGGTTGATGAAGTTTGGGTGCACAACTTTCGTCCACGGCGCTGTTGTTTTTTTCCTGATCTCCGGCATATACTAGTACTTTGGACTGTATTTGCTGCTTTATCGTTATTCTATCATGCTGTATAAACATACTACAATGATAAAGCATGTAATGTTGGTAACACAACGATAAACCACCCGTAGTTTGATGGTTTATAGCACCCATTTATTGTAATTATATGTAATGATGATGGTATGCTTGACTGACATTATACTATATCATAATTAAGACATATTACAATGATAACCAAAACATACTCTATATATATATATGCATAGATATATTACATTCTATTAGCTATATATGGTACAATATACTATAGTGGTTAATGATATATGTATATATATATATATACAATGATAGTAATATACCATTTATATTAGCTGTTTTTTGCAACAGAATGATTAATGACTATTAATTATACAAATTAGCCATATCATTGATGACATATTTGCCATATTATTAAATCATGTGTCATTAATGATTGTCAAATATCATATTAGCCATTTATATAATGATACCTGGTTGGTGGTTTCAAACATTTTTTATTGTCCATCATTTATGGGATGTCATCCTTCCCATTGACGAACTCATATTTTTCAAGATGGTTATTGCACCACCAACCAGTAGCCATTTATATAATGATGCATATAGCCTCTGGTAATGACTAACATAACTATTGGAAATTGCCATAGAAATAGTTGATTGACCCATTAAAAATGGTGGATTTTCCCAGTTCGCAAACTGTCAATAATAGATACCCTCTGGTTATTTAGCATAGCCATGGAATAGATGGTCCATAGAAATAGATAGTTTACCTATTAAACTTAGTGGATTTCCCAGTTCGCAAACTGTTAATTTACCATGTATATACCATCTGGTTATGACTCACATAGCCATGGAAAGATCCACCATTTTTAAGTTCGGTAAACCCAGGTAAATCATCTATTTCGATTAGGGCCATGGCTTCCATGGCAAACTGTTAGTCATTTCACCAGGCCGGGTAGCTATGGTGGACCCAGGTGTTCCATGGCCTCGCCTCCATCGTCTCCAAGCTGACGTTTCTCGGACGTCGGGACAGCCACGGTGGAGAGCTATGAAAAGTACCATTGACTGGGTTATCTGGTTGGTTTCAAACATTTTTTTTTGTTTTCCATATATTGGGAATAGTAACCCCAACTGACTTTCATATGTTTCTAGTTCAATCTTAGATGGATACTTTAATCCTTTAGTCTTTTGGTATCAATGGGAATATCTACTCACCAGCAAATAATTTGTCATTTTTTGCAGGGTATCTAAGATTGGCAATGTTGATTGGTTCTTCGAGGGCGGGGATTACACTAGTTTATGGTTCGTTGATTGTTATAGATTCTAGATTATATATATACACTACCTGGTTCAATAGGGATTATAACGATACTGGATTCATAACGTTTGATAGAGGATTATGATAACCCATAGGATTGGGAAACCTATTAACCAAGCAGCACAGTGAGAGGGGATAGGGGTATTGATGCCTCGAGTGACAATGAACCATGCGGCTGCTTGAAGAAATTCTGCGGAACCTATTTGAGAACCGAGAAACTAGAATATAATTTGGTTCCCTTTCAGGGATAAACACGTTTTGTTGCAGTGTCAGTAAGCTCAATGTTTCTCAACAAGGTGTGCCAAAACCTGAAGGCTGCTGGCCAACCAGTGGGTCTCCGGAATATTCTGAGACCAAGTGGTTTGACAGAAACTTGACCGGAAACTATTTGATAGACCCAAAAAACACAGTTTCCTGTGAATTTTTCCTTAGTCCAATCCCCTTCATTGAACCTGCTGAGGCCGGAAAATTTAGATGCTGCACGTGTTGAGATGCAGAAACACTTCAAGGTGGATTGGGAACAAATGATGACAGCGTAAACACACGTGCAAACTGTTGTTTGATGCAGATATTTCCCAAACTAATGGGTCTAGCTATGGTTTCTGGTGACCGGTGGGTTTTGATGATTTTCATGCGCTTTATGACCTAAACTAAGGACACCATGATGATTGATGATTGATGATGATGATTGATGATTGATTGATGAACATGAAGATGATGATGACGATGATGATGATGATGATGATGCTTGATTGACTTTCCATGATTCTCAGTGGATGAAAAGCAGCTCATCCACCCTCAGATGGTTTCTGTGGATGTTTTCTCTTAAATGGCAGGCTTCACAAAATGATGCGCGCCCCAAAATCACATGTAGTTTATTATCATTTACCTCATGGACAATTGCCACAGAATTAGGTATGAACCGCCATACAATCATGAACTTTCCCACGAAAAATGGCCATAGGTTGGGGGTAAATCCACCCGTTTTAGACACACCCAAATCATATCGTTGGGTATATATATATATATTTATTTATTTAATTATATATATATATATATATAGATGTATCCCTATTATAATCTCCAATGCAATATATGCAATCACTGTCATCCCAGAACATCCCATTCATCCATCTTACCCTTTGGTAATTTAACATAGCTATGGCAACCATGGCCCATAGAAAGAATTGATTCACCTACTAGAAATGAGAATGTTTAGCATAGCTATGGTAAATTACCAGAGAGTAAACCCCAGTCTTTTATATTGATCACTATGTACATCGATATATTAATCCATATTTTTTTTAAAACAAAAACCCCCATTAATATATGGAATGACCAATCAACCAATATGAATATATGGATTATGGATTAAAATATATATATATATATATACATGGATTTTATATGATTTTAATCCCCCATTAATTCAATTCATCCATATGAAATCTCCAATCAACTTCCAATTCGGCAACTGCCCTTTCCAGGTCCAGACCAGCATTGCTTTGTCCATCTTCCGTGTCCTTGTCTCCGCGGGAGCGCGGGAGTTGGAGACCGCGGCAGGTGCCGTGAAATTTTTGGATCGGAAAGGTGGTAAGCCATGGTGATTGAAGCCTGGGAAAATGGTGATTTCACCATTAAAAAAAACATGAAAAATGATGGACAAATATGGACAACTGGTGATTTAACCAATGATGTCCATGGTGAATCAACAAAGAAAAAACATTGTGGTTTAAGATGGTTTAACAATGGACATTGATGGATTTCAAGATTATTTGCAGCGCCGTGATTGTGCCAAGAGTCACCTTGTCCTTTGAAGAGTCAATGTGGGATTTGGAAGAAGTTACACCTAAGGTAATCAAACGTGGCAACGTTTGCTGGGAAATCCAAGAACTAACCATGGAGGTTTATAGCTGGGAAGATCATCAAACCAATGGAGGATTCTCCAGAAAGCCTTGTTTGATTACGACAATTGATAGTTCAAGGATGATGTTGATTTCCCATAACTATGTCCAAAGAATGATCTGCTATTTCCTCCCCGTTTAAAAAAAAAACATCCACAAATTAAACCATATGAAACCATGGTAAAAAAGTAGGGGATGGAACCACATGCTTGGGACCAAAGAAAGGGTGTGTTGAATATGAACGGGGCATGGGATTAGTCACTGGTAAACTATGGAAAATCATCATGTGAAATAGCTAGGTAAATCATCGAACTTATTTTTCATGGGTGTTCTTTGAAACTACTTTCGTGTACTGGAGTACCAAACCCTCAGTTTATTTTTCATAGGCCGGGGTAACAAATAAACAAGAGATACTTGGCGGTTGAATCCTAGAAATTCTGTATGTGACCCTACAGGATGGGGCCCCCAAGATAGCTAAGTTGGTTTATAAGTGGCTTAACAATGGTTTATGGTAGATATAACCAGGATATAACTATAGTTAATGGGGATTATAATGGTTTATAAACCAATTTATAACTGGGGGGCCCCATCCTGTAATATCAATAGGACTTAGTTTCTTGTGGTCTGCTTCAATTCGACGGAAAACCGTTCCGCGGACCAAGAGGTCAAGCCTATGGGTGGTTTTCGCAACATTTTTTTGTTGCGGCTACTGCAATGGCCAGGGTGACGTTACAACGTGAGTTACCATCTGGTTATGAGTAACATAGCCATGGAAAATCACCATTTTTAATAGGTCGGTAAACCATCTATTTCTATGGGCCATCTATACCATGGCTATGTAACAAATTACCAGAGGGTAGATGTGGCATTGGAGAAACTGGAAGATGAAGGATGTAAGATGATGTAAGATGTTCTAGACGTTCGTTCTTGATGTCCCTTTGCACCTACAACTCGTGTCCCGCTAATAGTGGGGTATACATGATCGCTACAGGCAAGAGGGACGTCACAGCATTCAGGCAGTTTTCGTTTCCATATGTCATTTTAATCCACAGTAACTCCTATATTCATCCATAATTATTTTCCGCGTTCCACTTCCATGTGACACAGCAAGTGACCAGGGCAAAACAGAAGACGCCGTTCCAGAGGCGGGTGTGCCCATGCGTGGTAACTTTATCTGGACGGGGGTGACCGGACACGACCGCCAAGTGCTGGGCTGGGAGGCTGGGATGTAGTGGAATATACAACGACATAAGATTAGATGAGATAAGATACAACAATTGTATTATAATATTATCCAAATAAGATAATAGATAATTATCATTATACTAATATTGATAATACAGCCATTGTATATCAATGACCTAACATTGTAGCCTAATGATGAATGGCTGTTGATAATGACTAGAATTATCAACAGCCATTCATCATTAGCCATTCATCAACTGCCGATCTTCCCGGATGGCGATGGTCTTGGGGGCAACCGCCGTCAGGTGATCAACCGATACATCAGGTGCCGTTCGTCTCATGCGTGGAGCCTCAGAAAAATATGGGAGGAGCATGTAGTAGCAGAAGTTGCTCAGAAAATATTAGCCCAGAACATGTCATAACATATCCAATATGTATCAATATGTCAGATTTGTTCGGAAGTCGGTGGTCAGTGGTTTCACTTATGTTTCACATATGTTTCACTGTGTTTCCTGGCCTTGATGAGATCGTTTCAGGAGTAGATGGAAGCGAGGAAGTTTCAGGTTGTTTCCCCATGTTCAAGCATCCAAAGATGCAAGGAATCTAAGCCCCCCTGTATATATCAAGGTGACACATTCATTGATCTTCAACTGTTTAAGGGAGGTTCCTGGTTTGCATGTAGCAGCTACATGAGTGGGAGAAAAAACGGGATGTGAACTGTGAACCCCCGATGGCTTTCTCACCCTTTGAAGCAAAAACGGAATTGTTGCTGGTTTGTGGCCAAGAGATCAAAGGCTGACAAATGTTGATTTGTGGTGCAAGTCCTTGAGCCATCTCTTGGACGTATCCCAAATATCGAGATCTGGAGCTGAGTTCTCCAGTTATCCATCAGTTCTCCCCGTCAGATGGGCAGTCCTTCGAACCAGGTATGGCTCAGAGTCTTAGCTGGTCAGTGGCTGGCTCAGAGTGGCACCATTCCAATCACTTAACTTTTGGCTTGATGGAGGACCTATCATATGATGTTCAGTCATTTTCCAGAGGTAATTATGGTATATTATGGTGTTCTGGAACCTCTTGACGAGTTCACTGGCTGCATCGCTGTGTCCTGTGTCTTTTTTTTGGTCGGCCCTTCAACCCATCCAAGCGGTAACTGTACTGCAGGTCCCTGCTGTGGGGCAACTCACTGCATGGAAACTGCGCTTCCGCGATGGGCCCCGGAGCGTTGTTGAAATCCAACGACGCCGTAGCAGTGCAGGTCCTCTAAATACATGGCTTTGTCCCAACGAGAAGAAAAGCTCCAAAATCTGATGGTTTGGAAAATACAGTTTCACCATGTTTCACCTTAAGCAATCCGTAAGATGGATGATGGCAAGTACAGTTTTTGGGCTATCCCTCCCAGTTCCAAGCAAAACTAGAGACATAGGTGTGTTCCCATATTTTCCCATGCATTTTCTCAGAGTTTCAGGATGCACTGCTTAGGTCAGGGCCTTCGGCCACCCTTTGGCTCCCTACGATTGCAGGTGACGATTGTACCAACGAAATGTCGTGAGTTGGATAGGAAAGACCCATGGATCTTGGGGTTGCTCTCCCAAGTTTGAGATATGAGTTCTTTACGAGATACGTAGACATATACGGTTTACGTATAGATATACGTCTTGTGTTTGGATTATTTGTTGGATTTTGATTGTTAAACTGGTGCTTAGCAGGGAATGAGGGAATGATCCACAATAACTATCAATAATCATCCCAGCAATCCCCAGCAACCCATCCATTCCCTACGTAAAACGCACCAGTAAGACAAATAATCATCCAAACACAAAACGTATATCTTATCTATACGTATCTATACGTATCTATACATTCCATCATTCATTGAGTTAATGCGGATCATTCCATCCATTCCCTACGTAACCCTACGTAAAACGCAGCAGTAAGGCCAGAGTGTTTTCTGGCCATGGCCTCGCACGTGAATTCTCCTACCAGCGGCCAGGTTTGGCGTCCCATCGCCGTGGGCTGGCAGAAAGGCCGACCATCCGATGCCAACGAACGCCAGATGGCCTTTACCCTCTGGTTATTTAACATATATGGAATAGATGGCCCATAGAAATAGATGGTTTACCGTTCTTAAAAAGGGTGATTTTCCATGGCTATGTTAGTCATAACCAGATGGTAAATGGAACATATCTAATGGATATAAAATGATATAAATGGAAAACTATATGATATAAATGGATGTGTTTTTTTGCTATCCATTTGTATCCATTAAATATCTATAAATGGATATAAATGGAAAATAACCACAACCGGCAAACAATTTTTTTGTGGACTACTTTAAAGATTGACCATGAATGAAGAGCTCAATTTTGGGGGACAGACTACCCATGCGGGAGGTTGTCTCAAGATATGATTCTGTTAGATTTCTGCACATAGAATTCTAACAATAGACTGTGTTGATACTGGCGATTGCTGGAATATACTGGAATATTGTTGTCCCTCGCTTGAAGCAAGGATTGCAGTGCAATTAACGATCCATTTCCTGTTGACCTGTCACCTTTCCACATCTAACTATCCACTGTTGGGCCTGTTCCAACATGTTCCACCCATGCCCAAATTTGGAGATTCAATTTCGGAGCCACTGGTGCCACTGTCCTTCCAGGTATGTCCTACACCTTCCGTTTGGTGGGTGTGGGTCCCAGCACAAGCGCAGAATCTGTACTTTCTCAGCCGTTGCTGGTCCAGCAGCATTGTACGCTTGAAACCTCAGGTGAGCACCTGACAAAGCCACGGGTGACGAGGAGAAATCTGTGAATTTCCCCACGGACCGGACCCTTTAAAAAAATGCCAATAAGAGGCAAATCCTGGATTCCTCATGGTTCATTTAATATCACAATAGTTTCCATACCTTACATATGATACTTGACTAAACTACACATTTTGTTGATCGTTCTCCATATCCATTTACAACTCACCGTGTGGTTAAAACAATGTCATAAACCACCCATGACTGGGACTGGTTTATACAACCTATTTATGGTAATCACTCGGGGATGGTTTATGGCATTGTTTTACCAACATGATACATGTTTTGTTACTCATTTCACTTTCCTACTGTGGATGGTTGCGAAATCCGGCATCACCGATGGTTGAAACCCTATACCCTCTGGTAATGACTAACATAACTATTGAACATGGCCATTTATAGTTGATTTACCCATTAAAAATGGTGATTTTCCACAGTTATGTTAGTTTACCAGAGGGTAAATAATGGGATAAACCACCATAAACCACTGGTGATTCGGAATTCGCTGGCCCATCCACCGTACCTTACAGGTCTTGTGGGTCTCGCCGTCTCGAGGAATCGCCCTTCGAGTGTCTGGAGGTTCGTGGTGCCCGAGGCGAGGTTCAAGCGGATCAAACTGGTGGCTTGAGATTGGTTTAGCTATCAAAAATGGATCAAAATCATGGTTGTAAGATTGGTTTGGCCATCAAAAAATGGATCAACATGATGGTTATGGCCATCAACAAATGGATCAACATGATGGTTGTAAGATTGGTTTTAGCCATGGAGAATGGATCAAAATCATGGTTTTGGCCATCAAAAATGGATCAACATGATGATTGTAAGATTGGTTTTAGCCATGGAGAATGGATCGAAATGCTGGTTTTAGCCATAAAACAATGAATCGACATGGTGGTTTTAAGATTGGCTTTAGACATCAAACATGGATCAAAAATAATGGTTTAAGAAGCAACCTTTGGTATTTAAACCACCAAAACAGGACTTGACTTTGCTGAAGGCTTAGTTCAATGGGTCATTTTTTTCCATGGGTGAGGATATAAGATTATATAAGTAGTACCCAGCCAGACATGGACCAACATTTGCGAATAGCTGTTTTGCTGGCACCCCACAGGTGCCAGGCTTTTGATTCAGATCATTTGGACCAAACATATTGGGATGTCATCCGAAACCCATTGACGAAGTCCATCATTTCATATTTTTTCAAGATGGTGAAATTGCACCATCAACCAGGATATTATGTATGTATATATATACATATATATATACATGTTTTTCAAGATGGTTATTGCACCACCAACCAGGATATTATATAAACATATATGAACCAAGATGGTGAAATTGCACCACCAACCAGGATATTATATATGTATATATATATATACATATATATATATATACATGTTTTTCAAGATGGTTATTGCACCACCAACCAGGATATTATATAAACATATATGAACCAAGATGGTGAAATTGCACCACCAACCAGGATATTATATATGTGTGTATATATATATACATATATATATACATGTTTTCAAGATGGTTATGGCACCACCAACCAGGATATTATATAAACATATATGAACCAAGATGGTGAAATTGCACCACCAACCAGGATATTATATATGTATATATATACATATATATATATACATGTTTTTCAAGATGGCTATTGCACCACCAACCAGGATATTATATAAACATATATGAACCAAGATGGTGAAATTGCACCACCAACCAGGATATTATATATACATATATATATATATATACATGTTTTTCAAGATGGTTATTGCACCACCAACCAGGATATTATATAAACATATATGAACCAAGATGGTGAAATTGCACCACCAACCAGGATATTATATATACATATATATATACATATATATACATGTTTTTCAAGATGGTTATTGCAACCACCAACCAGTATATTAATATAACATATATGAAACCCAATGGAAATGACCACCAACAGGATATTATTATACATATATATATACATACATTATATACATGTTTTTTCAATATGGTTATTGCAACACCAATCCAAACCAGGATATTATATAACATATATGAAACCAAGTGTGAAATTGCACCACCAACCAGGATATTATATATATATACATATATATACATATATATATACATGTTTTTCAAGATGGTTATTGCACCACCAACCAGGATATTATATAAACATATATGAACCAAGATGGTGAAATTGCACCACCAACCAGGATATTATATATGTATATATATACATATATATAT